ATGATGTCAGCGTAGCCTCTCATGCACAAGAGGCCCGAGAAAAAATTGCTCATACAAAGTTTGATTTAATTATTTTAGATATCATGATGCCTGGAGAAACAGGGCTAGAACTTACAAAGTCTTTACGTGATGAAGGCAGCATCCTCCCCATTCTTTTACTCACGGCTTTGGGGGAACCGCATCAACGTATCGAGGGATTAGAGCATGGTGCTGATGACTATGTCACCAAACCTTTTGAGCCTAAAGAGCTTGTCCTAAGAATTCAACGTATTCTCGAACGTGTTTATGAACGCCCCGCTCCTGCTCGTAGCGATATCCGTTTTGGCCCTTTTCAGTTTGATATAGAATCCCGCACCCTCTCTAAAGATGGTGAAGCAATTTACCTCACCCCTGCAGAAGAAAGCTTACTCGCTATCCTCGTAAATAATGCAGGATCTCCTTTAGACCGCGAAGAGCTTGCCCAAAAAGATGGCATTAATGTTAGTCCCCGCTCAATTGATGTGCAAATTACACGGTTGAGGCGCAAAATTGAAAACGACCCTAAAAAGCCTCTCTATCTCCGCACTGTGCGCCATCGAGGCTATGCGCTATACACGACATAAAAGGGGGCACCAAACAATGCTAAAATTTCGTCCCTTTAAAAGTTTAAAAAAGATTCTACCTAAAACGCTTACTGGGAGATCATTACTCATTCTTTTGCTCCCTCTTGTTTTTGCACAACTGATTGTCACATTCGTTTTCCTAGATCGCCATTGGGAAACTGTAAATCGACGCTTATCACAAGATATTGCTGGTGATATTACTGCTGTAATCAATCTTTTAGATCAGCAGAATATCCCTTTTAAAAAGGGGGCAAACTTTGCAAAAATTCTCTCTTTAGAGATCCAAGGCCTCTCTCCTCCTTATAAAAAAATCCCTATTAAAACAAAGCCCTACAAATGGGGAGAGAAAGCCTTTGATAAAGCTTTACAGAATAATCTTCCACACCACAGATATCGTTTCCACATCAGCGAAGAAGAAATCTTAATAGATGTTGACACCAAAAATGGCCCCATTCGCTTTTCTTCTTCACGTAAGCGCTTGTTTTTCCGTACAACACCTATCTTACTTATGTGGATGGCTGGTGCTCCAGCGTTTTTGTTTATTATTGCCGCCCTCTTTATGCGT